ACCGCGTAGTGACCGCGTAGTGACCTGCAGGAGAGGCTTGACAGGAGAGACTCGATGGCCAAAAAATCGTTCCGAGCTTTTTTCGGGCGCGAAATTGCAGTTTTTGGATGCGAAAAGGCCGTTTTCAGGGCATTTTTACAAGTTTTGTCCCTGCAAAGCGCCTGCCGGGAGCTTGCGGGGCAGCTTTTGCACGCTTCTTGCAGAGCTGCCCACGCTGGAGTGGGGGGACACTCCGGCGGATTGCGGCGCGCGGAGGATGCTGCGATATTGGTCAACTTGTGGGTCGCAGTTTTGAAGCGGGACGCGCGAAGTTGGGGGTTTGAGGCCGAAAAGCGGGTCCAGGTGTGTGTACTGTTTTTTAAAACGGTGTGCATAAAAACCACAAAAATCGCCGCAAAATTAATTGGTTCATAAATCCCCCTTATACTACACACACTAACTGCGTATGGACAAGTTTCTTTGGAAAATGTGCGTCTGCGCCCTTTCATTTTTGAACCATGGTCCAGGTCTAATGTGTGCGAGCACATGCCTGGAACCGCTTACGTAAAGGCTAATTACGTTTGTGCAATTCTGACCAACCCCAAGACTGGTTGCATAGGTTCGATGGCGACACTTTTGTCAGTCGCCGTCAATGCATATGTTTTTTTTTTAGACTTATCATAAAGCTTAAACTACAGCAATACACGACGGAAGGCTACGTATGCTGTATCTGGCATGAACATCCTTTGGCTGGTGCGTTGTGGCAGGTCGTTCTATCCACACTTAGCAACCTCCGTTTTGACTTGTGTGCCATGACACGTCGGAAGTCATGCATTTGATTCCAAGTATGTTTTAGGCATTGTATCTTTTTGTGGTTATTCTAGTGGGCTGTCAGTTGTTCGTCATTAGAGCTTGCATGCGGGCAGATGCAAGATCGCCTTCTTTCCATCGCGTCTGGATTTCGGGAAGAGTCCTTCAAGGACAACTGGACGAACGTATGACGTGCAACCACGACATCGATTCCGGCATGCTTGGACCGTGCGTGTGTTAGAAGGAACCTGGAGACGATTTTGCCAAGTTTTTATCGACCTTGCCGAACAAGGCGGGGCCGCTTCTCCGATCTTATCATCAAGATCTTTAGCCGTCCATGCTTGAATACCGACATGTCTTGGGTCTTGAGCTTTTATAGGGCCAGGCTTTCATGTGGTATTTGGCTGACGTCACATGTGCTGCAGGGAAATCCGGAGCAGCTTCACTTGCAGGGGTTAGGATTAAATGCCAGTCTGAGTCGTTTCAATAGACCAGTTCTCAATCTTGAAACTGTTTTGCTGTGCGCCTCGGCTTGCGAGGAATGGATACCGTTTGGAGACGAGGTCGGGGCTCACTCTTGTGATTTTTGCTGGGCTCGAAGACATCTGGAAGTTTCGGGCGTTAGATTGTTGGATTTTGCGGGGTTTCGTGCAGCCTATCATAGTTCTGGTCTTGCATAAGGCATGGGGATCCATTTAGGCCCGTGAGCTTCGGCCTTGCGACAAGCGACACTGCCCTTCGGGAAGATCTACATCAGTGGATCTCCGAGCATGCTGACATGTTGGTCATGTAGTGAGAATGACCTGTTAACGCTACGCTACACTTGTTCTCGCCATTGTGTTGTGCTTGATTAAATTTACGAATATTCTTTACTTTCGTCGTTACTCATCATATACAGGCAGGCTTCTTGATTCATATTGAGGCTTTGTCATGCAGCCCTTTTCTTCCTACACTTCGTGTTCAATTGAACTCATTCATACCAACGAAAAAGTTGATTGTGAGGATACTTATGCTGACAGGCCAGGAGGTTAGCAGTGCAAAGCACACATCCCATGGAACGAACTCGAAGAAGTTTTGGAGGCACCAGCGCCACGCCAGGGGGTGTTCGGAGCACCAAGCGACAATGTGCTTTTCTATTTGCCACTTGGTGGTGAGTAGACATGAGATAAACTTTATCCCGACGGGCGGGATGGGTTCAGAGCCCACTTGATTCGTGCCCCACATGCCTTTGAACAAAGGGAGCAGGGTACATGTGCAATCCAGAGTCTTTGTCATGATTCATCCTTGTGTCCGAGGAAGCCATGCCAGATGCCCGTGTGTGGTTCGCTGAGTTGGAGAGCTGATCCTCACCATGAGAAGGAGCTGGCTTTTCTCAAGAAGGACGGCCGTGCCGTGGGACGGCCCCCACACCCCACATCCGGAGTTCGTTTGAGCTTGGTTTTCGGGTTGCCGAGGGTCCAACTTGGATCTGCTATTTCTTAGGCAGGTTCTTGGGACGGGATTTATATGGGATAAGGCAACCTGCACCTGGTGTGATGCCAGTACCCTCCCGTCCAGAGTGATGTTGGTTACACTGACCAAGCGCTGTGTTTCGAATCTGTTCGGCTTCGATACTTCTGGAGATGTTGTTTCAGAGGCCAAGACATCGGTGTTCTGAACTCAGCCTCGAGCTTGAAGATCCCGATGCCAGGATAGTCAGCACGAAGTTCGGATCAACAAGCAACTTGGTCAAGGCTACACTGTTCTCACAAGCTCCCTGATGTTAGTTCATGGGCGTCTCGGTGGTGGGAGGGTTGTTTGTTTTTTGGCGTTTAGTTTGCCTTTAGGATGTTCCTACTGCCCCTCCGGGAATGTCCAAGGCAACTCTCAACGCTGTGGAGTGCCCGCGAGCTGCTCGCCTTCGCTGAGAGCAGATCTGCCGAGTTCGACATCGCCAATGTGATCACGAACTTGCCGCATGGAGCAGCTATTGGTTTTGGTTTGGGTTTTAGGGTTTGGGGGTTTGAAGCTTCAGGCAAATGTGCACGGATTAAGCAGCACGACCGGGCAGAACTGTTGATAGTGATGCAGTGTGTTTCAGGGGTCCGGCTTTGAAACCATTGGGCCCCTAGTATGGGCCCTACCCTATATGTACCCTTAAGGGTCCCTAGAAAGGCCTAAGGGTCCATGTTAGGGGCCCATACTTCTAGCCTTAGAAGGGGTGGAAGTAGATGGTAGCTATGGTGGGTGGCATGGTGGTGATAATGGTGGTGGTAGTTCGTAGGTAGTAGGGAATTGAGTTGTCATGTTCTGACAGGTGGCGAAGATCGAGTTGCAACATTCTGAGGTGTATATAGTCGTCGTCGTCTTCGTCGTCCTGTCGTGCTGCTGAAGCAACTGCTGCCGCCCAATGTCCTAGTGCACACAGCAAACCTTAAGCTGCCGAACACCTTGCCCTGCGATCGCAATGCCTTGCTTTGAGCCTCAGACGCAATCTCCAATCCTGAATTCTAAACCTCACTGTAGCTACAGACGCGTCAGCCATGCGCACTCAAGGCTGGAGAAGTAGACTAAGTAGAGTGAAGTCCCTTGAGGGGACGAGGTCTGAACTCGGCTGTTCCGGACCGAGGCACCGGGTTGCCAAGTCTGCAGATCGCTGGCAGGCATCCGGCTACATTTTGTGCTTTTCATTGGTTCTCCGTGGCTTCAGGTGAGGTTTTGCGCCAGGATGCAATGTTGCCATTCGCTGAGAACGCGGTAGTCGCTAGGACTGGTCTTAAGCATTTCGGAGATCGTGGATCTTGAGGTGGTCGGGAGAAAGCAGAACCTCGTCTTGCACTCTTACAGTGACTTACAGTACATCTGCATGGACCTGTGCTGACGACTCGGATCCAGATCTCAGCGCCAGGTGAAGAGGGACCCACGGTTGAAGGACCTTTTCCGGAGAGCGGTCGCGACTTGCCTGGTATACCATACGAGGATTCTGGATGTCGGCCCCAGGCCCTGGCTTATGGCTTGCGGCTGCGTTTCGGGTAGTGGGCTGGGATTCCTTCGGTCTTGTCAAACTTGCTCCAAGGAGGCCGTGACCTCACATGACCGTGCGTCTGTCCGAGACATAGCCAAGATCCAATGGGCCATCGGACGCCTGCAGTTCCGAGATGTCGCGGTTGAAGCAGGGCTGGCGGATGCAATACTGTCTCGTTTACATCAATTTGAACCTCAAGGCCTTTCCAATATCATTTGGAGCTTTGGCTTTGTACCGCCATCGGCACACTTATTGCAGGGACTCCTGGATGCATTCTCTGCGAAGGTGGTTGAAAGCGATCCGCAGGCACTCAGCAACGTTGTTTGGTCTCTTGCAAGGCTCTCCTGCCGTACGCCACTTCTGCACAGTGTCTCCCGGGTTGCAGTGGCAAAGCTCGATGCATTCGATCCCCAGGGGCTTGCCAATATTGCTTGGTCCTTTGCAACGCTCCAGCACTCTGATCCCACCTTGTTCTCCGGAATCTGCGAAGCATTTTCCTTTGGTGGTGCTGGCTGGGAGCCGCAAAATGTGTCTAACTTGATATGGTCCTGTGCGAGGATTCAGTTCTCTTCAGAACCTCTGTTGGATACAGCGGTAAGAGAGGCGACATCAACGATTGATGGTTGGAGCTGCCAGGGTGTTGCGAACCTTCTGTGGGGCTTTGCAAAGCTTGCGTCCGCGAAGGCAGATCTCTTTGACAAGGGGGCACAGGTAGTGAAGCAGAAGTTGCGAAGGTTCTCCCCACAGAACTCAGCGAGCGTTGTTTGGGCTTTTGCCAAGCTGTCCCTGCTCACACGAGACCTGCTCGACCTGGTTGCATCTGACGTCACGCTGAAGCAGGCGGAATTCAGTCCGCAGCACGCATCTTCCGTGATGTGGGCATGTGGGACTTCCAGCCATTACCATGCAAAGCTCTTGACGGTCCTCAGCAACAAAGCCTCGGAGATGTCCGAGTTCAATTGTCAAGACTTGTCGAATTTCGCGTGGTCTTGTGCCAAGCTGCTCTGGGCAGATGCTCCGCTCTTGGAAGCCCTGGCTGCGGATGTTTGTGAGAAAACCCGAAGCTTTCCTGCCCAGAACCTCGCCATGACGGTCTGGTCGTTTGGATGCCTCAGCTTCCGGAGGGAGCCCATGATGGTGGCTTTGATGGGTCACCTGCCCAGCCTGCTCGGGGAGCTGGGACCCCAGGGCTTGGCGAACGTGGCCATGGGCTGTGCCAAGCTGGTCTTCAAGAGCCGGGTCTTGGAGGATCTTGCAGCCGTGGCTGCGGCAAACATGAAGAGCTTCAGCAACCAGGAGTTCTCGATGCTTCTTTGGTCCATGGCGAAGTTGGCCTTGAAGGACACAGACTTCATCCAAGAGTCCGTGGCGGAAACGAAGGCGCGGAGGGAGCTCCTGAATCCGCAAGATCTCGCCGTCTTGGCCTGGGCCTTTGCTCATCTCGAGGGCAGCGAGTCGCACGAGATTCTCGATGCCCTCGCTTGGGAGATGACGAAGAACGTCATTGATTTTTCGCCCCAAGATTTATCAAACATCTCATGGGCCTACGCTACAGCCTGCCTTGAACATGCCGTGATGATGAGCGCGATCTCGATGGAAGCGCTGCGGAAGATGGGGAGCTTTCAAGCGCAGGACCTGTCGAACTTGTGCTGGGCTTTTGCCAAGCTCGGTCTGACCGACGAGGGCCTTTTCGATGCCCTGGCCAGCGCAGTGCAGGAGCGAATCGAAACGCTGCTCCCTCAGAACCTCTCGATGGTGGCCTGGTCTTTTGCCAAACTCGGCCTGCTGAACGAGGACATGATGGCTGCCATCGCCCGGGAAGTGCTGCGGAAAATCGAGGACTTGGACGGCCAGGCCACCGCCAACCTCGTCTGGTCTTGGGCCGTGCTAGGCCTGCGTCACAGCTGGCTCCTAGAACCTTTGATGCATAGGGCATCGGTGCTCATGGCAAGCTTGAACGGCCTTGAGATCTCCAACGTGGCCTGGGGCCTGAGCCTCCTTGGCCTCCTAGGGCCAGAGCTCCGAAAGCCCTGGCTCCAGCGTGCCGCCGGCTGCTTTCTGGAGACCTCGGCTTCGGGAGCCGCCTGGGTGGACTTCGCCAACGTCTGCAAGGAACCCATGGAAGCCCCGATGGCCGCAGAGGTGGAGGGACGCTTCCGCGAGCGGTTCCTGGAGCCGGTTTTGGAGATTCTGCTGGGCCTCCAGAGGGCGGAGGTCTCGCCGGAGAACTTCGAGTCTCAGGCGACCAAGTTGGGGCTCCGGAACTTGGGTCCAACATACAGCGTGGAAGCCTTGCAAGCACTCGGCTTTCTAGATTCGGCGCCCGACCACGGCTGGGTTCGCGAGGCGCGGTGGCAATGTCGGAGCGTGCTGCGAGAATGGCAGATCCCCGGTGTGCACAGCATCGTCGCGTATGCGAAGTGGAAGGTCCTGCATCCGAGCGGCGTTGAGTGCGTGCTCCCCGGACGGGTCTTCGTCTCTGAGCCGACTGAGTCGGAGGAAGAGCTGGGGACTTGGCTCAAGGCTTTTGCAGCTTGCGGGCGATTTGCGGAGAGGATGGCCTTGCTCACGCTGTTACGCTCCATGTCTTCGACACTGGAGCGGCAGCAGCTTGCTGATTTCGACGGCAGTGTCAAGATGTACCTCAGCCATGTACCGTCGCTCTGCACTCTTGGCATGCTTTGCCAACTGTGGCGGCCTCAGAGTTTGCAGTTTCTCGCGAGACGCACGGGGAGGGTCAGAGAGCTCGAAGTTCAGAAACCTCAGGCTGAGCCGCTGCCCACGACTCTCCGTGCGCTTTGCCTTCGACGATGCCTGGAGGAGCTTTTGTGGCCTCCCGCGCTTCGATTCACATCCGTGAACTCCCGCTGGCCCAGCGCGTTGGATGCCGGCCTCTCTCTGCACGTGGCGTTGGACGCCAGTTTCTTGTGAACATGCCATTGCTGCATCGGCACGCTTCGGCACGGCCTGCTGAAGAAGCTGAGAATTTGTGACTTGGCTCGTCCTTTGCGGTGATATCGGAAGGATGATCGCGCGAGACCTGTGCCGAATTTGAGAAAATGCAACGAGCAGTCAGTCGGAGTGTTTGCATTTGCATGCCGTCTTGCAGCTAATAGTGATTACTAGTGACACTGTCGCCTTTGCCGCGAAGCCGTGCAGAACACCGCCCTGATCCCTCCTTTTCTTGGCTCTGTCCTGGCCGCTACACACCAAGTTAAGCGGATTACGTGTCGGGTAGTCATGCTTCCACGAAGGCACCAAGTCTTGATTCTCGGCAGTCGCAGAATGCTTGCAACAATCCAGATTGCCTTGACCCATCACACAGCCGAACCACAACATTTTGCAGCGCTGGCCGCGCACACACACGCACACACACGCAGCTGATGCCCACGCACGAACTGCTCGACTCGACCCTCATCCACCCCCGAACCCACGAGACTTGTGCAAGACCCCAAACATACCCAAACCGGCACTTCGCCACGCGGCAGACACAATGCCTTTTGCCACACTCAGATGGCTCCATGGCGAAGAGGAGGCTCCATTAAGCCCATCTCTTTTTGAAGATGTCGGACGTGGTGACGGGAAGAAGATGAGGAAGTTGTACAGCGACATAAGTTTTGAGTAAGTAAGAAGCATCATTCCATAGTCATAATCATGAGTCTGACATGGTGTTGGCATCAACGAGAAACCCAGCGACAATCACAGCAACTGTAGTAGTCATGCCAACTAGCAACGATCCCAATAATCATGAGAAGGACTACCACAAGATCCATCATTTCAGATGCGACAGTCAGCTGTACATGTACACTTCTGCGCGACATACTCGTCGTAACCGTCACATCACACCCACCACCACCTCTGCTTCTACTAAGAACCCAACACGAACAAGAGCAGCTGCCTACAACAAGGGCAGCTTCACGTGCTTATTTGCTCAAACTAATATGCGCTTGGTGATTGCATGAAAGCCTTGAGACAAGTTGCCATTAACATACTTGTACGAAAACCGCCGCAAGGACGACCGGGACGCTGTCGATGCTGTGCTGCTGCTGATGATGGTGTTGCTGGTGATAATGCTATGTTAATCTTGGTTTTTGTGTGTCGCGTTACAGTGTGGTCGTGGTGGTCGTGGTGGTCATGCTGATGGTGGTCGTGGTTGTCGTGGTGGTCGTCGTCGTGGTCTACGTTTACCATGATGCCCAATGATGATAGTGTGTACGATGATGATGGGGTAGCAATGATGTAGTCGCACCCAGTGATCAGGAAGATGAATTACACTTATGAGGAGGTGATGCTGTGGTGATGACGAACATGCTGCCGGCTAGTTGGCTTAGGGTGATGAAGATGATCATTAAAGTGATGGTGACGGCAATGGTCTTGATTTTGATGAATGACGTTGATGAATCAGTTAAGGTTGATGACGGCAGTCGTAGACGAATTTTAATCATCAGTTTGCGAGCAATTTGCGAGCTATCAGTTTTTCACTATCATTTCTGTGTCGGTCGTCGTCATGTTTTGGATTCCAACAAATGATTTTTCTCGTCCCTTTCTCTCACTCTCTCTCTCTCTCTCTCCTTTGCTTTGGTCGAGGCAGGTACCGGTGATGGTGGTTGTGGTAGTGAAGGTGGTTGAAGGTGGTTGTGTCGTGGGCGTGGATTCTGGCAATGGGGCAACTTTGCTGGACCTCGCATGATTCAACAGCTCAACCGAGTGTTGTTTTGAACGCTGGAGCCATGAACCTAAGCTTCCTTTGCCGAGATCGCCCGGCACGAGGGAAACTTCGGGCTTGTGATGCACAACTTCATGAAGGCAAGGGTTCCCAGAATTGGTTTCGGGACTCCGCGCATTGGATTTGTCCGTTCGGGTACTGTGGGCGCAAGAGATTGGGTGCAGCTTTTTTTCCCGGGCTTGCTGAAGAACAAGGGGCAGGCACGGAGGAAGGTGGGGCATGGTCTTAGTATTGTGATTATGTCGAGTCGTCGAATTCGAATTCTCATACTTCTAAACATCATTTGCAGTGTTTTTGTTCTTGTTGCCCTTAAACCCTACACTTCCTTCAACCCTACATCGTAAAAGGTATCACTGCTATCCTGTTCGTATCCTTCCGCTCTTGCCTGTCTGGCAGGTGTCTGGAGAAGTAGTCAAAAGACCGACCAGGCAACCTGGCAGTTTTGGATGGCTGGGGATATAAGAGGGGTCTATCAGGGTTCTATAAGATTCCATAAGGATTCTGCAGGGTATTCGTCCTGAGGGTTTCAATTCCTGGCCATGGGATGTGAGTTGAGGATTCTTTTTTTCGGGACATCTGTGTTAGATTTGGGGTATGGAGATTGAGCATGGGTCATTGAGAGAGTGGAGTGTGGCTGCAAAGGCAGCGGCATTAGCCACAGTTGCTCACTCGCAGTAGCAGCAGCAGCAGCAGCAGCAGCAGGGGACGTGGCATGAACTGCAGGACGAGCAGGAGGAGCAAAAAAGCAGGGTTGGAGGATCGAGATGCGAGGGCCGTCGTAACCGTGAACACGTGAACATGAAAAGACGTATCTCTAGAGCAGAGCCGAATTAAGGCTCCAAGTGAAGGCCCCATCTCCCTCGAGCCTCAGGACGGACGAGCTGAAAAAGGCTGGTTGGAAGGAGCACCAAACAGCAGAGCCCACGCTGCACGAGGTGTGGGGCTTGCGGCTCGTGTGGTTTTCGGCTCTTTTCCGGCTTGGGCTGAGGGCAAGCCTGGCAGGGCACCTCCCTGCGCTTGTTTTTCGACGACCTCTGCTGTGAGATCACCTTCAGCACGGTGTTCGCCTGGAGCCTGGCTTCGGGCTCGGGGCTCTAAAACTTTTCCGGTGTAGTGCTCCATTGCCCCGGCCCGGGCGTTCGTAGATGGCCGCGTAGGATCTGATTTCCAAGATGAAGCTGCGTTCTTGCGCTCGGGTAAGCCAGTTCTGGGTTCTTGCTCATGGATGTATTTGGAAGTTACCACAGTAAGGAAACCCTGTTGTTTACAATAGATCCCTTTTATGGTAACTTAGATTAAGTTCATTCCCTGTCATGGTAACTTAAATTAAGTTCATTCCCTGTAATGGTAATTTACATTAAGTCCATTCCCTATTACGGTAACTTAAATTCAGTTCATTCCCTAGAATGGTCACTTAAATTAAGTTCGTTAAGCTCCTGAAGAAGAGCCCAGACTTCGGCTTTTGCCGCCGGGGCCCCAGGGTTTGGGCGACTCTAAGGAAGCCGGCGAGTATTTGAGCGAGGCCGCAGCTTTGTGGAAGAAGAAGCCATGGCCACAGCTGGTTTAGGGTTTGGGGTTTAGGGCTGTCTGTCCGTAAAAACAAATTCCTATCCATGCTCCGACAACCCATAGGCAGACGGTGTACACATCTGCGACCCCAGAAACCTGGAACCTCAAAGGTTTTCCACTAAAAAGTCCTAAACATCATCGTGTTCCGAGCTCCGGACCGTGACACACGAATCCAGCACGTGCCACCATCATGACAAGCCGAGAGCTGGTTACAATTTTCTGCATTGGCGCTATCCTGTGGTATCAGAGCAAAGTGACTACAGAATTGTGATGACAGCAAAAGTAGCGCGAGAAGCATAGCAACAGTGGCACTTCTCGCACTGCTGACACTTGAGCAATTTTGCTGAGAATGATCTGGTCACGGACACGAGTACTGCGAATTCGACTTGGTGTGAAAAATTACGCGTGTCCCTGTATCAGTCCAACACGACACCAATGATAATACCAGCGCGAATGATTCCATAGTACCAGTTGCACACATACAACAGTAATGGTAACAGCAATGCCTTGTGTAACAGCAAAGGTGATGGCAATCAGCACTGACATCGGTTTCTGCAAATGTATTCCTAGCCGCATGATGGACGGCAAGAACAAATCTGGCATCCGTCATGAAAAATGAAGAGTGCTTGAACTCCCTAAACCCCCAACCCTCCTAGACCCTAAACCCTAAACTTCCTAATCGTACTTATTCTGTCTGAAGCCAAAGCAGCACGCTCAGGTCTGCCCCCAAAAACGCACCGATCAAGGCTCCGGAGGTCCTGCCAAAGCCTGCACCCGAACCTCCCAGGAGCCCGGGTTCAGGGAAGTTCAGGGCTTGGGGTTGAGGGCTCCTGAACCCTAAACCCCATACTGCCCACCAGCTCCGCCAGGAAGAAGCAAAAGATCGACGACGACGGCTTCGAGCGTGGACCTCGGATTAGGGTTTGAGGAAGAGGCTGGGTTTCGTGTTTCGTGTGCCTTGCATGTCTCCGGCCATCGCTTTGGGGTTCCGTGAGTCTCCTGTCGTTGGATCCCTGAGCCATTAACAAGATATGTATATGTATATGTGTATGTATACTTATATTTATATGTACATGCATATGCATATGCATATTGCTTTGTTTATGTATATGTATATGTGTTTGTATATATGTAGATGGAGATGCAGATGTAGATGTATATATGTATATATATATATATATATATATATATGTATATGTACATGTACATGTATGCGTATATGTTTATGTATATGTACATGTATATGTATGTGTATATGTACATGTGTATGTACATGTATATGTACATGTCTGCGTATGTGTCTGTTCGTATACGACATGTACCCGCTCTCTCTGTGGTTTAGGGTTCACGGTTCAGGGTTTAGGGTTTAAGGCTTAAGGTTTAAATAAGGTCTAGGGTTGGAGGGTTTAGGATTCGGGAGGGTCGGGTTGAAGAGTACGCGGTGGTCTCTGCATGTAGAACCGCCAAACGAGTAGTTCTCGAAAGCAGTTCACGGAAACCCAGAGCGCCCAGTGTTGAAGGGGCCCTGCGATCAGGGTCATGTCCAACATGAACACGCTGAGAATCCGGAACCCCGCCCACGCCTTACGGGGCAGTGGGATTCATCAGGACTGCTATTCTTGGCTGTCTCTCTTCGCATAGTGGTGCCGGGCGGGGTGATGGTTATGAGGACGATGAGTGATGACGTCACTTACCCTAACTTGTCCTTGCACGTGTTGTTCTTCTCTTTGGCATGGGTGGATTCGCTCCGGGCCGGAGCTCGGGCAAGCGCCACTCCAAGACCCCAAGCACTGGGGCCTGCGCCTGCTGCTGCGGCGAACTGTTGGAAGCAATGGCAAAGATAAGAGGGGCCACTGCAAGAGCAAAAACAGCGAGCTGGGTTTTTGTATTCGAGGGCAGCAGCTCCTGCCGTCACAAGGCAAAGTAGCCAACCGATGGTCAGCCACTCGGCCCAAGAAGAAGATCGTAGAGCAAATAATGCCCCTCTCTGCAGACCAAGCGCTCCTCAAGAAGCCCGAGCGCCAAAGTTCATACACCCTCAGGCGCCCAAGCTGTCAACCCTCCTCCTCCTCCTCCTCTGTCCCCTCCTCCTCTCCTCCTTCGCCTCCTCCTGGCCTTTCTTGTTTACCCATGCCTGCAGCCATGATGACGACGACCACGATGAGCATTTCTGTGTTGTGATACGCCGCTGATCGCCTCAAGCGGAGGTCGCTGAGTCGCTGAGCTACAAGCTGGCCGTCCTGGATTCCAAGCCCGGAGCCCTTTTCTGGGTTCACGGGCTACTTGTATGGCCTTGAGGCGTCCTGTTTTGGGGATGTTTTCGTGGCTTCTTCGGTGGGTTGGGCCAACCAAGCACTCGTCTGTTCACGCGGGGCTCAGGTGTTTTCGACTGTTTGGGTATTAGCTCTTGGGCTTTGCGAAGCGAGGTTCCGGCCCTTTTCTATTACTTTGAACCTTGTATTACCCTGCGCTCTACACCTCTCAGCCTGAAGTCCGAGACCCGGAAGGCATGGATGCCAGAATATGCCAGCGGAAGTAGTGACTGAGAACGTGACGAAGAAGGGGCGGCAGTCATCAGTGCACAAACCACACAGGGTGTCGCGACTCGTGAGATTCGCGCAGTGTTCCTGGCCGAGGGTGGTGACGAAGACCTCGGACGATCGGCCCCTGCTGTGCACTGGGCATGTCAATGTGGGGGTCGAGGCTACATGTTTGTCGGACCAATATTAGTAGCAACAACTATTGCAGCAGCAACAGCAACAGCAACGGAAACTGTAAACGTGACAGCAGCAGTAACAGTAACGGTAACAGTAACAGTGCCATTAACAGTAGCAGTAACAGTAACAGCAACAGCAACAGTGGCTGCAAAGATTGATACATTTTTCGCACACGCAAGCCTACAGTCTCGGTTGCCCGTCAGCGTCGACTGAAGAGTGGTGCAATAGTAACAGTAATTGCAATCGTAGTCGTCATTGTAATGATAATGATAATGGCGATGATGATACTACTATTACTATTTTATTGCTAGGACGACTACTACTCCTCACTACTACTACTACTACTACTACTACTACTACTTCTACTATTACTGCCAGGAATAGTAATAATAAGAATACGTTAGCAGTAGTGTAACACAAACCTGTGTCGGGAATAGGTTTAGGACGCCTTTTTCTGAATAGGCTTCCGAATCCATCGTTCTCTGGCACGCCAGGCGGCCGAGCCAGCCACTGCGGCGCATGCCGCGCGCTTGGTGCCAGACACGTGCAACCCGTATATATTGCATATGAAACCTGAGACTACACCAGGTTATATCATCTCTTATTCTACTGCATTTTATGTTTGGTAATTCACTATGTTAGAAATTGTATCATGTTCTATAAGTTCTACATTCCAAATATCAATCCTTTTCGGTTGTCCAGGCAGCCACAGAGGAATGCAGTTCTCCAGAGGAAAGTGTCCAATCCGCTGCAGGCCTGGGGCAGGGGTGGGAAGGTGAGGAAAGGCTTGGGCACGAAGCCCCAAACCCCAGACCCAACACCCCAAAATCCTGATGCAAGACCAAAGCCCCTGAAACCCGCCTCAGACTACGTATGCAGAGACAGGGGCCCAGAGCGTACCTTTCTGAACCCCAACACCCTAAAGCCGTAAACCCTCAGCCGACATGCTCGAACCCTAACCCCGACAACCTAAAGCTCTAAAGCCCTGAAAAAGCAACCATAAACCCTAGAAGCCTCAAGCCCCAAACACGTTTAAGCTAAGTGCACATTAACCCCTAAGCCTTAAGACGTCTTCTCCCAGGACTCCTCCGTCTACCACGGCTACCGATCCTCCTTAGCTTTCGGGCTACAGAACTTAGGCCGATTGGGAGGGTCGTGTGGCTTTTGTGTTGGGGGGATGGTATTTTGGGTTTGAAGATTTCCAGGCAAGGTTCCGTCGTCTTGCTTGTGCAGCAGCATGCCCCGGCAATGCCACGAGCCGCACTGCCCGAGGCAACACGTGCTACCTCAATGCGGTCACCCAGGTGTTGCTTTCCGGTTCGTTCGCCGGGGGTCACTGCGTTGCTGTTGCTGGTGATGACAATGCCACTGCTGGCACGGATGATAAGAAGATAATCACAACGGTGTAATAGTAGCAGCAAAGATAGTCAGAATAAAAGCAAGAAAAATCATCATAAGATGATCCGTCAGACTAGAGGTTATCATAGCAGTTATGGCCATGATTTGCCATGGTCGCCAGGCCGTAGGAGCATCTCGCGAGTTTGTCGGAGAGCTAACGTCCATGCCTTCCCAGCTTGTTTGTGGGGTGTCCGTTTGAGGGTCTGTGAGGGGGCAACTTCGCAGTTCAGGGCTGCTCTGGTTTTATGCAACATTGGGAAGACTTGATCCCAGCTCTGCATGTCCTCTGCTTTGGATCTTCTCCGAGACCGCACTGCCAGGGCAACGAGATGGCCTCATTGTACTAGCGGCCCGCTCTTCAAGTGCAGCGCCCGCTCTTCAGATCCGAGCAGTGGAGTCACTTCACAACCTGTGCCTCAAGTCCGAGAGTCATAGAGTCAAAGGCATGGTCAGGAAGGCATGGACCATGGGCCCTGAAGCACTTCTGTTCAGAAAGGCCGCAAGGTCTGCATGACATAGCCGCCCAACCCTAAACCCTGAACGAAACAAGGAATCCACGTGCTCCCGTTTCGTGCTCCTCTGCAGGTTGACATCCTGCAGCGCTTGCAGGCGACGCAAAATGCACCGTTTGGGCCCTGCCAGACGATGTTGCTGTGGAGGATTTTGAGGCTGCCGACAGCGGAGGGCAACGATGACGATGAGAGCTGTTGATGCTGGTGACGGCCATGGTGAAGATGACGATGCTCTTCATGCTGTTGATGTATGCAGCAGATGATGCTGGCAACTTTTAAATGGAGGAGGTCGATAAGGACGCAACAGGGATGAGAGCGGCGGGGACGATAATTAATCATGGCGATGGCGAGGATGTCTCTGAAGACGATGAGGAGGATCATCGACTACTATGCTGATGATATCTGGTGGCAACTGCAGTCGACGAATGAACAGCAGGGATGTGCTTGCGTCCCCTGCTGCTGATGGTGACGATGACATTGTGATGAGGATTTTGAGAGTGATTTGAATGTTGATACAACAAGACAATGATGACGCTACCGTTGGTGACAATGGTCGCGGTGCAGATGATAGGGAGAAGACGAGAACTGCTGGCAGCGACGACAACAATTGCAAAGCTGAAAAGGATGATGGTGTTTGTGATGATGGTAAGGCATGCTGAGCATCGCGATTCATCAGAGGCTGAGCCCTGCCAAGCTTCGAGAGCAGATCGCCATCGCCGCGTGCCGAGCTCAGCCAGGGACAGGTTTGCAGAAGCCGACCCATTAAAGCCTGCACTATAAGCCCCTTGAGCGGAAAAGTGTTCAGTATTTCTAAATCGTGCCCCAGATGCCGTGGTCCTGGTGCCTCGAAGGCCAATGTTCAGAGGTAGCGGCCAGCAAGATGCCCACGAGTTCTTCTTGGAGCAGCTTGTCGGCACAGCAAAGGTGTTCGGCTCGCGTGTAAGTCACAGCAGCCTGTGCACAGGTACATCAACCAGCTTCACGACGAGCTCTTGAGGGGTCACAAGGCTCAAGTTTCCCACTCTGCGCGGTGACACCACGGCACGGGGCCTCCGGCTCTAGGACTGGCTGGCCCGGACTTCGGCGGAGGATGAAGAACCGGTGCTTGCGTGGGCCTTATCCTTGCCGTGCGAAGCGGAGCCACGGCTTTGTTTTCTGCGCGTGGCTCTAGAGTCCTAGAGACTTGCGACGAGCACTGTGGATCATCATCATCATCATCATCATCATCATCAGTGTCATTAGTGTCATCATATGTCATCATCGTTGTTGTTGCTGTTGTTGTCGTTGTTTTCGTCGTCGTTCTCCTTTTTGTTCCTCTTCGTGATTGTCTCTGTCGTGGCCTTCCTTTTCGTCATCATCATGACTTGTGCGTACTCGTAAGATGTTGAAGGGGTATTTGTCTTCTGGCTTTCGCATTCTGAACCTTGGTCTCTTTGGGGCGGCCGAGGCCACACAGAACCACTTCGATGCGGAGCTGCTAAAGCAATTGACGTGCACGCAGCCAGGGGCTCGTCCGCGGGTTTGGCCATGCTCTTGTCATTCCTGATCATTTCTGTAAAGGGCCAGAAGCGTCGAAGTTTGTTCTCGACCACGTATAGCACCAGACCCCGAACCTCAAGCTCCAGACTGCTCTCCGCAGGTGCGGGAAGCCTCGGCAGGCACCGGCCTCGGTTCGTTCATGAGGCACTTTATTCTGGGTCGACGATGTCGGCAACTATGATAGCTTGCAGCCTACAGCAGCAGGGAGTGAGACGCACGGGTGGCGTCGCAGCCCCTTGTGAACGATCAGGTGACAGAGCGTTTCCGAGACTTCTCCTTGGACTTCCGCACTTCCCTCAGCCAGCATCCGGGAGAGCTTCCGGGGTCGGTTGCTGGTCTTTATCGAGGCACTGACGTCAACCCGCTCTCCATCGAGGCCATGTTTCGCAGCTACTTCGACGCAGAGACGGTCGAGGCCCGTACAATTTCTCGAATCGAATTGAGGGAACTGTGCCGTGGCCTGGATCCCTTTTTGGTCAGCCTGTCCGGGCGCAGCGGCGAGAAGTCCGCTCGGAAAAGTGCGAACTGCTAGTTTAAATGGCAACTCTGTAACCGTTTCGAGCTTCACCCAGACAACTTCCCAGGCGAAATGCGAGCACTGCGAAGCTACGTCGGCCCTGCTGGACGGGCCTGTAGTTTGGAGATTCCCCGCTTTCTCTCTTTGGGTCTGCAGGGTTTGACAGGCATTTCACACCGTGCTGTATGTGCACTTGGTACACATTGTCATTCGTTACTCGTATCTTAAGAACGCGAAGAGCTTCGAAACAGTAGCATGGAGAATGAAGTGATGCCACGTCCTTGTCCCCAAACCCTCACTGTAGCAGCGGGCTGTACCTGTCAGGACATGTCAGGACGAACGGTCCAGGTCACGGTAGCTCTGAAGCTTCAAGCACCAGAAAAAAAAAGGTCCATTCCCAAAGTGGATGAAGGGCTGAGCATGGGGCCAACGCCAGGAGACGCAGCTTTCGGAGGCCCCCCGGCTCTTGGTGTTGCACCTCAAGCGCTTCGTGTGGACCTCATAGGGTTCATGGCATCGGGGTCAAAGGCTTTGTTCTAGGGTCCAGGAAACATCCGTCTTGTTGGGCGCGACCCTAGCGCTCAGGTTCCGAACATGGAGCAGCAACGCTACGAGAAGCAGCATCAATCCGTCCAGATCCCCTACATGCCCGTGACCAAGAGTTCGTTTTTGCTGAAGGGCCTTTCAAACAGAGCCTCCGGTTCGCGCTAAGTTGCCAGCAAGCCCATCAGCCTCAAGATGCTTCACTTGCTTGCGCTAGCGTCAGGAAAGAAGCGACTTCCTTCAGCAACCCTGGGTGCAGATCTCCGAAAGTTGCACCAAAACGGCATGACGCGGCACAGGGTTTGCATGTCCGAGGTTGGATGTGGAAAACATCCTTGGCAAGGGCAGCGCCGCAGGCGCATCAATCATTATGAGCCGGTTAGCCTTCTTCCCTGCGCCGGCCACTCGCGGCAACGACCATGATCAGGACCACCATGCCGATTCTTCATAACGACACATGCGACGAAGACTACCATGCTGAGCAAGCGCAGTGACCATGACGACCGCCGCGACCACGACGACGACGAATGCGGGATCAACGATGATTTCTGAGTGTCAAAATATCTGCATTTTGACTATTGTGACTGCTGCTGCTGCCGCCGCTGCTGCTGCCGCCGCTGCTGCTGCTGCCGCTGCTGCTGCTGCTGCTGCTGCTCCTGCTGCTGCTGCTGCTGCTGCTGTTGCTGTTGCTGTTGTCGTCGTCGTCGTCGTCGTCGTCGTCGTCGTCGCTATGGTTGCTGTCGTGGTGGTTGTCCTTGTTGTCGTTGTCGTCCTTCGTCGTCGTTATCGTCTTCGTTGGCGTTGCCGCTGTTGTAGTTGCGCTGTAGTGGTGGTTGTTGTTTGTTGTCGTTCTCGTTCTTCTTACTCTTCTATTGTGTCTTCTGCTCGGGATTGGGCTTTCTGTACACTCGCGAACGGTTTCTGACCTCTTCATGCGGGCTGTTTTGTTCGGCGAGTTCACTATGGGATGACGTCGACTTCAAGAGTACACTACATTCTCTTCATATTCTGTGAAGATGTTTCAGTTGGTATCATATATAGATTTAAGTAACATTTATATATGAGACCAACTGTAACATAGATAAAGACACAGATAGATAGATAGATAGATAGATAGATAGATAGATATAGATATAGATATAGATATAGATATATGAGATATGAGATATGAGATATGAGATATGAGATATAGATATAGATATAGATATAGATATAGATATAGATATAGATATAGATAGATAGATGAAGACACAGATGGTAAGACAGACGAAAGATAAATAGACAGCTAGCCAGATAGATAGACAGACAGACAGATAGACAGACAGACAGATAGATAGAAGCACCCTAGGTGTACACACGTGCTCGTTTGCTTCGGGTGCAGGCGTGTCGCCGGCACGACTCCCAGCGAGACCTCTGGCCTCCACTGCCACGCCTGGAGCCAAGGACATGACTTGGGGTGTTGTTAAGGAATTGAAACGAAACTCTACGCCATAGATTGTGTATCACCTGGTCGTAGGTTGCCGCAGTGAGGTTTTGAGTAGTTGAGTGCGAGCTGTCCCGCGTTGATTGACGTCGGGTGGTCTAGTTTTGCCTTCTCCAATGTCAGTGCGACCTGCTCCCTCAAACCCTAAACCCTAAAACCCGCAACCATCAAGACTGAAACACCTAAACCCTGCAACCCTAAACCCCCAGAATGGCCCAACCATGGAAATCAAAAGAAAGCCTCAGGCCCGGTGCCGGAGCTCCGGGCTCCGAGGTGCAAGTTCAAAGAGGGGGGGGGAACGGAGAGCACATTTTTCAGAGACTGGTTTTAGGATTTGAGGATTGAGGTTTGGGGTTTAAGGTTCACGGTTTAGGGCTTTCAGGAGTCTAGGGTTGAGGGCTCGGAGTGGAGGATTGAGATGGGGTGTCCAGGGTTATGCACGGCTCCTGTCTCCTTTTCGTCAGCATTCGCGCTGTGGTTGTGATGCTTGCGCTTTCATGGTCAATGGGGGGTTGCTGGTCGTATCGTGTTTATCATCTTTACACGTCGTGGGGTTAGGACCAATGGTCTGGTTTTCAAAAGGGGTGGGGACGTAGGGCATCGGCGGGTCTTGAGGTTTCCGGGTTCAGCGTGCAGTTGCAAAGGCTCGGAATCTCGAGGAGAACAGGTGATTTAATAAAAAAGAATGATGCGTTATGTCCTCGAAGACATGCCATCCGAGACTAAAGCCCGAACCCTGCAACTCTAAGCTCCAGGCCGAGCCGGCAGAGGGGCCCGTGTACAAGCTCCGTGCCATCGTCTCACACGAAGGGGCATCGCCAAGGTGCCATCTACTTGTCCTTCTTGAGTTTCTGCGGTGTCAGACCATCCTCAGCCCAGAAACAAAGCATCTCGCTCATCACCACGACCGTCGTCGTTGTCGCCGTCGCTGTCGGGTGGGCATCGTGTGTGCTCCTGATCGTCATCATCTTCATCGCTCTCTTAATGCATCACCGCCATTACCGCCACCAGCAACATTATCTTGGGGTGGTCGTCGTGGTTGCTGTAGGGGTGATTGGCGTCGAGGAGCCTTGTGTTAAGAATTGGAGCTTTTGGCTTCCAGTTCAGCTCTTTCTGAAGTTTGGGCTACGTTGCGCCTGGATGTTTGCGTTTGGGCTTTGCAGAATCTTGAGCAGGTCTGGGCACTACGTCTGCTTCGCGGAGTTCGCAACAGGGGAGTGGTTCCTCTTTGATGACTCCCGCGTCAAGCAGTTTGCTGCCGGCGAGGACGGGATCACCTAAACCTCGGCCACTTCTCTTCCCGCAAAGTCTTTCTGCTCGGTTTTGGCCTTGGCACCCTGAAGACTAAACCGGTTTGATCTAGGGCTCGTGTTTAAGTCCAAGTGATATCCATTTTGTGTGGCACTTGGTCCAGGAGCCATGGACAACCCTGGGAAGCAAAGCATACATGCTGCCGCTTGAGCAGCACCCAGTTCATGCATAGTGACGCTTATTGCGCTATTGGTGATGGTGTTGAATGTTGATGATTATCGTGATAGTGATGGCGTTGATGACTATGGTGATGATGCCGCTAGGGATGATGATGACGATGATGAGGATGATCCTGACCATTCGATGAAGGAGCTTTTGGGCTGTGATGATGGTGAAGATTGTGATGCCAAGATGATTGTGACAAGAACAACAACGACAGTATGTATCAACATGGCACACTGCTCATGATCATGATCAAGATTTCGAGGTGATTAGGCTGAGTCATGATCTGTCGTTGGAATGCTGAGGTTGAATGTAGCGAAATCAAGGATTTGTTCTTTTGGTGATGGTTGTACCAGTGTTCGTGATGTTACCTTGGCAGCTGCGCAAGACTTTGATGACGATAGTCAAGAGGACTTGAAGAGTGCAGAGGTTGAGGTGGTTGATGACGGCGCCGTTTTGGATGACTAGCCGCTGTCTGCTATGGCAACACAAGGGGCAGACGGCGAAGTGTGTGTTTCTTCATCCCAGGTTCTACGTCCTCGCAGGTTCGCAGCTCGGAGTTCGGCGGCTTTAGCGCCAAAGCCCTTCAGATCTCAATGCCCCCAAGATCTCAACCGGCACACCCAGAAGCCGCAAACCCTTCCCTCTACCGAGGCTCCCAGTCGCCGGATCCGTCGTAGCTCCGTAGCTTCGAGTTGTAGCATCGGCTTGATCGGCTTGGCACGAGGGGCTGCCGAGAAAGGCAGCCTCGATGATGTAACTGTGCTTCGAGTGTTTAATCTGCGAGTTTTCGCTTCCGGGACCAGGCACCGTCTCAAGCACTTTCAGTCCGAAGTTATGACTCCCTATCTCCCGGTTGAAAGCAGCGTCCAAGGGCACATCGGCCCCCCCGGTGGGGTCGACGTGCCCGGTCCGGTGAACAGCACCGACTCGGTGGGGGCCCACGACACGGACTTCTTCGAGGGAGCGTGGACCGCCAGCAGGCTCCAGTTCTTCCGCTGACGATGAGTCTTGGTACCTTCTGTTTCGTATTGAAGCTACTTAGCAGCTACTTGTAGTTGACTGAACCCTAAACCCTAAACCCAAAACCTTAAAGAAGTACTAGGTGTTAGTTACATTTACCCGAGGGAAGCAAGGCGGTCCCTGCCGTCTCACTGCAGATGTTGGGTCCGGTGTCTGCGGCCACGGGGAACAGACAAGTGGGGTTGGCCGAAAACTGGCGTTTGGGGCTTAGGGTTGGGGGTTTGGGTTTCGGGCTTATAAACCCTCTTCCAGCCTTGTGGACGCTTTGGACCTTCTGGGGAACGATTGCTGCAATCCCCTACTAGGAAGCCCAGTGAAGGACGTGTGGGGTGGGCTCCGAAGACCCTTTCTCTAGGCGGGCAGAAACTCATGTTAGCTAGATGTAACAGACAAGGGGGGCATTCTGGACGTTTTTGATGTGTAGCTGCATCATGTTGGAAGTTTAGGATCTTGCCCAGGCTTCAGCGCGAATCTCTAATCCCCAGAAGAAAGCCTTTTCCGTTGACGCATAAGAGGCAGCAAATACAGCAAATGCTGGCATAAAGCATTTCAGTTCTGATCGGGACATGCTCATGAAAGTAGAATTTTGCAACGCGCAAGATGGCATGCCGCATCAAACGCAGCATCACGAGGGAGAGCATTGCACAGCATGGCAACAGAGAAAAACACAACACAAGACAACATAGCACCCCAGAGCATAATGAACCTACGCTGTCCAAACCTAGATACCACAGCATACTAGAGTTTCTCATCTTACGACAAAGTATAACGAGCACAACATAGCACAAGATACAACCACATCGCATAGCACAGCAGAGTCCTGCACCACATAGCAGAAGTTACATTTCATTGCATCGAAAGGTCTATAATGCCACTGTATGACTGCACAACGTAGGGAAGTGCAATCTACCAAGCTCGAACATCAAGAAAACAACATGGTCTGAACAAGCGTCGTGCGACACAATATCCACAATAGTTATTGGATCATCGGAATAGAGTACAAGGTAGCATTCTATCACAGAACGTACCGTAACAGAGGCATGCACCAGATGTTGCAAGAGCAAAGCATATGCCTTCGTACGCTATCGTGTTTTGTGTTTGAAGGAGGCGAATTCAGTCTGCGATTTTTCATTGTGTACCATGTCATGTCATGAAGCCCAATGTGTGACTGTTCCATGCAAAGTTCGGCAATATGTTTTGACAGACGTTAGTATGCAACATCGTGCTATGGGCTCTGACCATGCATGCCGCTGCTAGGGTCCATCCCTCCTCGCAGCTTTCTCAAAACGTTGAGTGCAAGAGGACATGTCACATGCTGGTTCGCAAGTTGCAGCTTTCTTCTAAGTTTGAGGACTTGGGGACCTGGGGAGCAGGAAAAGGTCAAAAGATGCAAGTAGCAAGTGATGTAGCTGATGCGGTAAGATACCGGCGCAGGCCGACATGGAGCCAGTTGCAGGACATCTTAGGTCCTAGGTTTAGGCTGAGATGATCCTGCTTGCAGCCCTTGTCCTCGCTGCGCCTAGTTTGTGTCGCTCTCAGGATCCTGTGCCGTTTGTCTGGCAAGTTTCCAATCAAAACAATCTATTTCTAATATTTCTTTTGTTATTATTATTATTACTACTACTACTACTACTACTGCTACTACTACTCTTACTACTACTTCTACTGCGACTACTACTACTACTACTACTACTACTACTATTACTACTACTACCACTACTTTTACTACTACTATTATTACTGCTACTACTATTGCAACCAATCATTGCTACTGCTGCCACTATCGCTGCTTCACTACTGCTGCTGCTGATACCAGTCGTGCTGGTACTACTGGTCATTATTAAAAAAATGACTACCAGTAACTAGTACTGCTACTGCTGCAATCCCTCGAGCTTCGTTTCAGGTGTCGCGCGAGCCATTACCAGGCTTCTTGCCAGGCGGATGAGGTGGCACAACGCTCAGATGCACAGACTGCAAGGTGGCGACGTCTCACTTCTCCGCTCGTTCTGTCCGCCCGGAAGCTTAAATCCGAACATCCTTCTAGCTCCAAGACTCATGCAAGGCTGGTGAAATCCAGGGGGAGGATGGCATGGCCCAGTCCTCATTGTGTTATGCAGCGTCAAGAGGACATGGCACGGATTGCGAGAAGGTAGGTTATGACGGAACAAGCAGGATACTCAAAACACGCAGCATGGTTAACCCTGCGAAAAGTTTTCGACAGAAACAGTCAGAACAACAGACAGACCAGTCGTGATGATGGCGAACCAGTAGCAAGCAGAACAAGTACACCCGGTCACAGGAAGAACATTAACAGTCACCTTATTCTCGCCGCTGTCATAGTGATGATGCTGACCATGATGGCGATCCTAGTCAACCACCGTCATCGTCGTAGTTCGAATCACAATGTGCTCTGCCGTCCTGTTTTCCTTTCCATCATCGTCACCATCGTGACCATCACCATCACCAGAACCGGCACCAGCGCCACCGCCATCTTCATCCCCATCACCGTCACCATGATCATCGCCATCCATCACCACCATCACCACCATCACCATCATCGTCATCTTCGTCAGTCACCATCGTTATCATCATCGTCGTCATCATCACAGCCTTCATCATCACGGCCATCATGCTCATCATTACCGTCTTGACTTTCAGAAGAAGAGACATTGACATTGTTATGACGCGTCACGTTTGTCTGCAACTACCAATAACCCGAATAGTCGCAGCCATGTCGGCCTGCCTGACGGAAATGGCCATTGCACGAGCCGTTCTTACTTGCTCAGAATATGCAACGAGAGTTGTCGTATTTTGGTAGAGCACTTCGAGGTATGTGCACCAAAGTGCTCTGCCTCCTTCGAGTGCCCGATGGACACCCCGCTCACCTCTACGGCGCGGGGCTTAGGTGTTGACCTGGCACCTTACCGTAGGGTAGTTGCCGAAAATGTTCCGCAGGCTTTAGGTCCCGCGAAAATCCCATGGCCGTGGAGCGTTTTCGCGCGGGGTTGCTTGTTCTTGTGGAGGTGACGCTCATTTGGTTCACCTGCCTGATCGAGGGATCCTGGTTTCGCTCGGTTTCAAAGACTGAAGGAATGGTGTTTTAAAGGGTGGACCCCAATGCTTGCAGACCCTACAATATAGAACTTGTATTGCAAGTAGCACTAAACAAGGTACCCCTTCCTCTCTGAAACCCAGACAAGCCAAGCTTAGCCGCATGAGCCTACCCCTGCAACCCCTCAAATCCCGGCCTAAGGCCAGAAGCTCTCAAGCCGTCCGCCTGCATGAACTCGGACCGGTCAATATCTTGAACTTTAAGCGTTTTTGGCAGACTTCCACCAGTACCTCCATGCCAACCATGCATCACCAAGCCAGATTCCAGGGCAGATTCCACCGCACGAAGTCAGCAAGCGGCTACAATACCTGCCACATCCATCGTTTCAGCTGGCTTTTTTGTTAGGTCTTCAAGCTGTAGCAGCGCTCATGCCAGGCGCAGCCCCAGTGCATGCTGCAGACCGTCGACCAGGCGCAAGCGAACACTACCTCCTTCAAATGTCGCAGCTCCACAAACCCTGCTTCCTTCAACCCCATGAGAAGTATTCGTACCTGTCGGTTTGTTTGTGTCAGTGGTGAAAGTTATCATCGTCGCTGTCGTGGAGTTGGTAGTAGTAGTACTAGTAGCATCATTCTATAGCAGCACAGCAGCAGCAGCAATCGCTCCAGCCAAGAAGCATGGGCAGTGTAGGGCTTATAGCAAAGGCCTTGTTGCTTCCAGCATCGCTGTCATATGCTGATGAAGCCCAGTCTCCTTCTAATATTTGAAGGGGGCCATGCCTGCTGGGCGGCAGGTCTTTCGAGCCATCGTCAGCGTCCTCACCCGCATCATCATTATCTGCATCATCATCTGCATCATCATCTTCATCATCCTGCCTCAGCTCGTAACGTCTTCATCCTCACTTCATCAACCTTGTCATGAGTACTGTTCCGACGGGTCTGTGGTTCTGAAAGCCTGGCGCCAGCCAGGCTTTCTACTGCGGCCTCCTGTGCCAGGCCCTGCAGGGTTTGCATACTCTCCGACCTTGTGGGGGGTCCTTTTTATAAGGGTTCCGTACTATACTGGGGACCTACAAAGGGACCCTAAGTCAGAAAGCTACCCACGAGGGCTCCCTTAGCTCCCTCTTGGTTCCCAGATGTTCCACAGCAGCCCAAGAGCCCGGAGAGGGATGAGCCTGCTGTGCTCCAGCTTCATCTCGCCGTGCTGAAGCGGATGGCAGGAGCGTAGTCTTTGATAGTTCGGGGACAATGGCAACAACACCCCCAGCGAGAATGATCATCAGATCATCAGAAGTAGAAGACACAATGCAGCAATGGTCGTCGTGTTGAGTTGTTGTAGTAGTAGCAGAATGAGAAAGCAACACGAGTAGCAATCGTCATGGCAGTCATAGCCGCAGTACTAGTAAATCCCCTTGAAGCTGTGACTTCTGCGGGGTCGACGGGTTCTTGCTCCAGGCGGATGCGCAGTGCCCGAGTGGTGCATCCTGCCGCAAGGTGGGGCTTCTTGCTTCTGAGAGCAGGAGTCAGGTCATTAGGTTGAAGATGGTGGCGCTTGGAGATCGAAAAGCTTTTGTGGGGTCTACTGTCACGGGCTCAGGTGGGCACGCAGGGCGTTGGCTTGTGCATCCATCCGCTGTCCTTCGCAGACTGGGTGCGGGCCCCGGAATTTTCAGACGAGGTGCCGCAGCCAAACAAGCTGATCGTTCGCAACCCAAACCCTGAACTCTAGAATCTAAGCCGATGAGGCCACCTCGAAGCCTTAACCGAAGGTGGGATTTCGGATTTCAAGGTGGTTGAGGCTTTCCGATTCTTGAGCGCTCAGCGTGGGTGATTCGGGTTTCTGGGCTGAGGACCGAAGCCGCATACCAGGAGCATTACACGTTCGTTTCATGTCGATCAAGTTGCCTCCCGAGTGGATTGACGAAGGATGCGTAGTGTATGCTTGCGATCAGCCCATGCGGAGGCCATGTTGCCCTCTTGCACATGGCGCGAACTGGCTTGGAACCCTCGCCACGACGAGACCTGTGCAAGCTACCCCTATGCTCCTTGCGGTGGGCTTTTGAAGGTTCCAGCTCTCCCCCCGTGGCACAGACGACACGCCATGTCCTGAGCCCATCATCGCCAATGGCATTTAGTAGCCACGGGGGCCACGGGCTGCTTCCGCGTGGTTCGAAGTTGTTGATTCTGAAGCTTGGGTTTATGCATACGGCAAATCGGTTTTGCATGATGCTTGTAGCCACGGCTGGGCACCTGAAGCCGCCAACTCCACAGGCCAAGGCTCATCGCCGTCACGGTGCCCCTGTTGTTGCGTCTACCTGTGTGTTGTTTCTGCATGAATGCTTGTCCTCTGCTTTCTTCGGGTGTTAACACGTGACATCGCAGGTCCTGCAGCTGATGTCTTCCCCTCAAGTGCGCCTCGTGCGTGACATGGAAGACTCCGCTGCAGACCAGGGGCAGCACGGACGATTCGTCCGTGCGGCTTCCCCTTTGCCCTTTGCATGTGTCTCAGCTTCCCTGCGTGCCGCATGTGTTTCTTCTTGTGTTTGTGTTGCAAGGGGCCCTTAAACAAAGGGGTAGATGCGGCAACGACGCGACACCCCGCCCAGTCACGAGAATGTGCGCATGTCCTGTGTTCCGTTGGCGCTGGTGCTGCATGATGTGGGTGTGGTTGTCCAGGCATGGATGAAGCCGGGAGCAGCATATGGGGTGTTCTCACCGAGAATCCACTATCCCCGTTTTCAGGCGCAAATGAATACCACCAACGTTCGCTGACACGGAGGTTCAGGTCATTGCTGTAGCACGCGAGTTGCCGATCGATCGGCTTGCGGCGTCTACTATGGCGGGTCCATTCTTGTTGAGATCCCGCATGATTCGGATATGCATGGGGCCTGCCTGCGCTGTCTTTTCGGCTAACCCGTTGCCTGCTACATCGAGCGCCCGGCCAGCACTCACCAGGGGGAGTCTTCGTGCTGAAGAAGCAGGATGTGAAGGCTAGCTCCAAACCAACAAAAGCTCGGATTTTAGTTAGTACCGCCTTTCCGGCCGAAGTTTTCTTCGAAAAACCACATGGCAAAGTTGCTTGGGCCCTGCTACAAGGCATTATTGCGCAGGACGATCCGGACAGCACGGACTGACAGGACGTCCAGGATACGACGCAGGCATGGTTCATCGAAAGGTGCACCGCGCTCTTCCTGCCGCTGCCCACACAACTCCCACCGCAACTTCAGCCAAAACGTCAAGCGGTGCTGGCGGAGTTAGCCAGACTCCAAAGCCGCTTGAAACAGGCTTTCCGCCGCGCCTACCGGGCAGAAAGGCTGTGCGACTTTGATACAGTCAGCGGCTGTTTCTGCGTGGGAGCCCAACACCTTGCCAGAGATCTCAAGCAAAGAGCTGCAGCGCTTCGTCCACGAAGTGCCAGCCATGATTCTCGATGCGGGCTTTCTGGCAGGACCGGGCGTTGTGGATGCCTTGCTTGTGCACGACACTGCGTGGCGTAGTGCACGCTTGTGCACACTATTGCTTCTCGCGATTACGCGTCTTGAAATTCACTTTTTGGGTGCAGATCGACAGAAGCTGTCGAGGAAGGGGTTTTTAGATTGGGGCTTCCGGTTTGAATGTCGTAAATCAGCCCCAGGCCCAGAAAACGCACGTAAGCCCCCTCTCAAGTGCAGCACACCAAAGGCTCCATATGAAAGGTTTCAGACATTTTCAGACGGATCGTATAATCCCAAAGCTCACACTTGTCGGCGCAAGTCCAGGATGTGCTGGAGCCCAGACGCTGCTGCAGCTTACCCCCACCCCCGCGGACCACCACACTCACGTAACACCCGCGCAACACATTCACTGAGCCACCCTGACACCCGAACTGCCCCGAAAGCTCCCCAACCCATATACTGTATTCCCCAAGCTTTTCTTACGGTCGCATCCCGTGCATTTTCGAGACGTGAGGTTGGTTATTTGCTGTGCTTGTGCATGCTGATGCATGCTTCTTGTGCATTACTTTTCGGACTGATGCCGTTGCCCGGTACTATATTCGAACATGCGTTAGCTCCCGAGCCCCTTAACTTTGACACGTAAAACCCAAAAGACCGTACGTAGAACTCAAAAACTTTAGGCCACTTAACCCCAGGCCCGCTTGTCCACGCGGGTGAAGCTGGCAATAGGCGGCCTGCCGGCAGTAGGGCTTTGTCAGTGGTACCATAGTATGTCATACTTGGTTGCGCCAGCATCAGTGGGATATCGGTGGGACTACACATTGCTAGGATCATGTGCGAAATATTGTGGCTATGTTTCAGTGTGATTTTTAACCAGCACAAGGGCGCTGCATGTTCGTTCGAGGGTTCGAATCGTTCAGTTGGGGCAAACGATGTACACGAAAGGGAGGCAAGCTTGGGACCCATGACGAGCGGAAACCAGCGAGACCTGGATCTGCTTCAGCCTAATGTTACGCGATAGCAAACGCCACGCCTCGATCCCAAAATCTCTAAATCTTAAGCCGTGAACCTGAAACACAACGTTCATCTTAAAACCCTTCACGCGAAGGTTTCAGGTTGGATGCCGAGTTTTTGCGGCCCTAGTTTGGGAATCGCTCATTCTTGCAGCAGTTTGCGGAGATGACTCCTGAGCCTTCCTCCAACCTCAAATTTTCGCCACAGCCGAAGATTTCACGGCCTCTTCCCAACTGCAGCATTCCCGTCAACCGCCCAGCTCGGAACTGCTCAATGCCAGAACAGTTTGCAGGCTTCCCCAGCGCTCCTTCTGGGTCGTCAGCGGGGTGACGGCCTTGGCGAGAGGTGATCTGTTCGTCGTGGTGTTGGTGGTGTTGCTAGTGGCAGTCGTAGTAGTAGTCGTGGTCGTGGTCGTGGTCGTGGTCGTGGTCGTGGTCGTGGTCGTGGTCGTGGTCGTGGTCGTGGTCGTGGTCGCAGTCGTCGTCATCATTTCTCGTAGCAGTAGTTAGAAGCAGTAGCAGTAGTAGCAGCAGTAGTAGCAGTAGTAGCAATAGCAGTAGCAGCAGTAGTAGTAGTAGTAGTAGTAGTAGTCGTCGTAGTCGTAGTCGCAGTGGTAGTGGTAGTAGTAGGAGTGGTCCTGGTAGTGGTAGTGGTATTGGTAGTAGTAGTGGTAGTAGTGGTGGTAGTAGTAGTAGTAGTAGTAGTCGTAGTCGTAGTCGTAGTCGTAGTGGTAGTGGTAGTGGTAGTGGTAGTGGTAGCTGTAGTGGTAGTGGCAGTGGTAGGAGGACGAGGAGGAGAGGTAGGAGGAGCAAGAGGATAGAGGAGTACGAATAGGAGTTGGAGAAACGGGGAGCAGCTGTAGCGTCAGTGCGAATTACATGTAATGATGCAATGATTGTCAAATTTCCATCGAGTGCAAGAAATCGCCACAGAGCCTCAGGAGCAAGGGCTTCCAGGTCGCGAAGGCGTACTCCGCTCTGCAAAGCCTCAAGCGGCGCAGAGCTGAGGGGCAAGATGGCTCTAGTGACGCAGCGCGTTTATACAAGTTTCGGGCTTTCGGGTGTCTGGGTGTTTAGCAACATGTCCGGCATGCATGGAACAGGTTCAATTAGGACTGAAGGTTGGGTTCAGGGATCAAGGCAAACCTTTGTTTCGAAGGGACCGTTGGTGTTTCAAACACTCGACAAAGTGCATCCCATACACAAGCCCTTACCCGGTCCTTACCTTACCGCAACAGCCACGGTTGCTGCCACTACTGTGCCCTCCTGCTCCAGCTGCGACTGCTGCTGCGGCTCCTCCTCCTTCTGCTGCTGCTGCGGCTGCTACTGCTGCTCTTGCTCGTTCTGCTCCTCCTGCTCCTACTCCCACTCTTCGGCATTCGGGGCATTCGGGTTTGAGGTTCCGCGGCGTTGAGCCTTACCGGCTGGGCCGATGTCCAGAATCCCGGTATGAAAAACTAACTCTAGCTTGCCACGAGTCTTCTCCCTTCCTCTGAAGGCGATACGCGATATCTGACGGCGACGCTGATGTTTTGACTGTCAAGGCCACTCTTTCAAATAGGTTTAGGGTTTGCGGGTTGATTGTTTTGTCGTGTTTGGGGGTGCACCTTTCTTCTCAAACGGTTGTTTGCATCGATGGTAGGTTTTCACCCATCGCGGGCTTCGTTTTGTCGTGGGCTTCGTGCTTCTCGGGTTTTCACTCAACAGGGTTCGGCATTGAAATTGTTAAGGTTGAAATGTTTTACACGATTATTCTGGTGGTCATCGTCATCATCATCATCGTCGTCGTAATCATCATCACCACCATCGTCATCACCATCACCATCACCATCACCAGCGTCAGCATCAGCATCAGCATCAGCATCAGCATCAGCATCAGCATCAGCATCAGCATCAGCATCAGCATCAGCATCATCATCATCATCTTCATCATCACCATCATCATCGTCATCATCATCATCGTCATCATCATCATCACCATCATCACATGTTCTCGATGTTGGTTGCGACGAGCTGATTGCTGTTCTGGGTATTGGCTTCAACTTTACCATTGCGTTGCTCTCGTTGCTGAAAGTCAGGATCGAGCTGAAGCGTATTGCCTGAAGCCCATTCATTTCTTCCCTCCGGCTCTCGCGTTCCGACCGGCAGGCTACGCCGCTAGGAATCCTGGTCGGGCATCATGCTCTCGGAGGTTTACAAACTCTTGGCCTGGATCCACGCCCTGAATCCTGCACTCTAAATCCTCGACTGTGGATCCAAGAGAATCAACCCTTAGGTTCAAACCCTAAGTGCTGAACCCTAAACCCTAAACCATCCTTATCCCATCAATCTGCAAGGAGATGCTGGCGGCAGCATCGCTTCCTCTTTCCTTGGCCGCGTGGGGGCCCGGTCGCCCTCGGCGTTTTGAGGCCGCCCTCGGCCTGCGCCTGTCAGAGTGTAGGGTTTCAGGGGTTTCAGGGTTGAGGGGTTTGTTTGGAGATTCATGGTTTTGAGTTCTACGGGGGTTCAGGGCCGCAGCTTGCTTGAGTTTGGCTTTCGCCCTCAGGTTTAGTAGAGGCTACAGTAGGAATAGTTGTAGCGGAAGGAATGGTGATGCCTTGAAATCGTCGCCTGGGCTTCGGTCCCAGTCCATGATCAGTGAGAGGTCTCGTTCCTCTCCCAAGTCCGAATCGCAAAGTTGGCATGTCGTCATTGGCGTGTGAGTTGGAAAGCCGTTTACCCTGAGTCGATCCGGCTGCATATTGCATGCAGCAAGGCGTCGGCCTATATCCACCGCAAACCTCTAAATCCCAGAATCAGAACCGTAAACACCTGAACCTTGAAATTCCTAAACCCTAACTGTGAAACTTGATGGAGTTTATAGTCATATGTGCAACGGTGTCTTTCCTTTCGCGTATGGCAGTTGTCACGCTGGTTCCCCGTGTGCCAAAGCCCCTTGACGAAGC